CTTTCAAGACTCCCTGTTTTCAATGTTAAGTACCATCTTCTCTCTTCTTCTTTGTTTTTTTTTTGGCTCTTTGCGATGCACAGGGGTTACTCCTGGCTCTGCACTCAGGAATTACCCCTGGCAGTGCTTAGGGGACCATATGGGATGCTGGGAATCGAACCTGGGTTAGCCGCGTGCAAGGCAAACGCCCTACCCGCTGTGCTATTGCTCCAGCCCCCATCTTCTCTCTTCTGAGTAACATACTGTCACACATTCATTTATCATAGGTAATTTTCAAAATCTTTTAATTAAATGTAGCATGCAAGTGATGTCAGGGGAGAACATTGGGTGAGCTCTGCAGAGAGGGGTGAAGCAGCAGAGTGGAGGTTGCTCCAGAAACAGACTCAGGCCAAAGTCAGCTTCAGACCTGCAGGAGAAATCAAGAGAAGAAGGCCTCGGTGAACCCCGACCCCCACACCCGGAAGCTCTGAAGCTGGTATTACTCAGCTTCAATGGCTCATTCCTGAGGCCTGAGGATGCTCGTGTGAATTAGCAAACTATCCCGAAAAAAATATTGACTTCAAAAAAGAAAGGAGCATTTCTCCCCAACAAATGGATTGCCTAGATCTGTCATCTGGCAGCACTCCCTGTGGAAAGGAAACAGAAAGAAGAAGATCCTCTGTTCTAAAGGGAAAGATACGGGTGTGCATCATGGCATCTACTGTGGTAGACAAGCCGGAATGGAGTTGCACACGCGCCCACCCTCTGACATGCTAGCTCTTTAGCTTGATAAAACAACAGGAGAGCCAAAGTCTCTGAGGGCTGAGAGTGCCAAGTTGCTACCTTGGCTACCTTTCCTGTCACTGTCACTGTCCTCCCCTTGTTCATCGATTTGCTCGAGCGGGCCCAGTAACTTCTCCATTGTGAGACTTTGTTGTTACTGTGTTTGGCATATCCAATATCTCATGGGTAGCTTGCCAGGCTTTGCCGTGTGGGCGAGATACTCTCAGTAGCTTGTTGGGCTCCCCGAGAAGGGGGGAGGAATCGAACTCAGGTCGGCCATGTTGGCTGCTTGCAAGGCAAATGCCCTCCTGCTGTGCTATCGCTCTAGCGGTATCTTCCCTATATTTATCAATAGATGGAGAAATTGGCTGGGTCAGGTTGGAATCTATAGTCTCACTGCACCTGTTGAATTGCACTCCAACATCAGTTTCCTCTGAGATGCATTCCCTAAGCATGGTCTTCTTCCTTCATCCAGCTTCACTAAATCCTCTGGCCACAAACAAATCACAAATCACAAATCATCCTGTTATTCATCAATTGCTTCGAGCAGGCCCTAGTAACGCCTCTTTCATCCTAGCCCTGAGATTATATTCAAGGCTCTTTAGGAGAATGAGACCCATCATTGTTACTGGTATTTGGCATATTGGGTACGCCATGGGGAGTTTGCCAGACTCTGCCGTGTGGGCAGGCTACATTGGGTAGCCTGCCAGTTTGTCCAAAGTAGGAATGAGATAATAAGATGTCATAATAAGATGTCGCGCGCCACACGGTTCCGGGAGCTGGTTTTTATAGTCTCTGGGTCTTGGCCGCTGATGGGATTACATGGCGCCAGGGGGCCAGTTGGTGGGTGTGACCCCCGCCTACTGGAATTTGGAGGATCTGGGTGTAGGATGCTCAGCCCCAATCCGAGTAGGCTTGGAGATCTCGGCCCAGGAACCCGCATGGCTTTGTCCCTCTGCCAGTACCTTCATGTGTGCGGAGAGTGGTCTCAGCATGGTGGTGGCTGGTCCTGGAGGTCTTCAGCTGCCGGAGCCCTGGTCGGGGCAGGGAGGAAAGCTCAACCCGCTCCCCTCCAAGGGGCCCCGGTGAGGACAGCCAGGCACGGGGGCAGGAGACTGCCTCTGGCCACAGTGATTCATATAAGTTGAACTTTAAAAGTGTTATGTTCATAATATGAGACTGACACCCAAGGACAGTAGCAACAAGGGCCAGGAATACTGTTCCATGGTTGGAAGCCAGCCTCATGAGCTGGGGGAGATGGCAGCTGGAATATAGAAGGGATCACTAAGTCAATGATGGTTGGAAGCATCGTTTGGGATGGGAGATGTGTGCTGAATGCAGATAAAGGACCAAATGTGATAGCTTCTCATTATCTGTATTGCAAACTATAATGCCCCAAAGTAGAGAGAGAGTATGGGGGAAATTGTCTGCCATAGAGGCAGGGGGAGGGTTGGGATGGGGGTTGGAGGAATAATGGGGACATTGGTGGTGGAAAATGTGCACTGGTGGAGGGATGGGTGTTTGGTCATTGTATGATTGAAACTCAAACATGAAAGCTTTGTAACTGGAGCTCACAGTGATTCAATTAAAAAAAAATTTAAGTGTTATGTTACTTCTCTCCTTGGTCTTATATCTGTTCCCAATTTAACCCCATTTGCTTTGTGTATCTACTAAGTTGAACAATATGAAATGGTCACTGTCACTGTCACTGTCCTCCCATTGTTCATTGATTTGCTCGAGCGGGCCCAATAACGTCTCCATTTTTTGAGACTTGTGGTTACTGTGTTTGGCATATTGAATATGTCACAGGTAGCTTGCCAGATTTTGCCTTGCGGGTATGATACTCTCAGTAGCTTGCCAGGCTCTTCGAGAGGGACAGAGGAATCGAACTCGGCTTGGTCAGTATGACTGCATGCAAGGGAAACACCCTACCGCTGTGCTATTGCTCTTCAGTCAAGGTCATGAAATGATCAGTAGCCAAAATATTTTCACTGGGCCCAGAGAGATAGATAGCACAGGAGTTAAGGCATTTGCTTTGAATGTGACTGAATCCAGTTGGATTCCCAGCACTGCACATGGTCCCTTGAGCATCATCAGAAGTGATGCCCGAGCACAGAGCCAGGAGTAGCACTTGTGTACCACTTGGTATGACCCCCAAGCAGAGCAAACCAAAACGGGGGGGAGGGACATTTTCATAGCCAATTTCAATGCAACAGCAGTAGTTTCTTGCAATCCAAGTTTCTATATGTCTCACAAGCTAAACTAAATTTCTTGAGAGAAGGACCTATCTTATACTTAATGATATGTTTTGTGTGTGTGATTTATTGCACATTCCCTTCCACAAGGCAATTCCAATCAAAATACCTACGTGATCAGGGCCTTGTTATTACTGCAATTGAAACAAATGGAGTTACAAGGAATAAGTGACTCACCCATTAGTATACAATTGCACTATCCATTTGGGGGACCTGAACCTATATCTCCAGATAGCAAGTCAGTATTTATCCTCTAAAAGAATTTAGCCTTTCTTAAGCATTTGTTTAGCATTTCCTTATTTAGAAAACTTCCGATGAAGGAAGCTAGGGAGATAGTACAGAGAGTAGGGTGCTTGAATTGAACACAACTGATACTGGTTTAATTCCCGGCTCCATAGATGGTCCACAAACATCTCATTACCGATACAAAGGAGTGATCCCTGAGCACAGAACCAAGTGTAATCTCTGAGTACAGTAAAGTGTGGGCTAAAAACCTTCACTCCCTTCCCACAGAAAGAAAATTTTATGAAAACGTTATCCCATTTGTCTCAAGAAATAATCTGGTAAGATTTCCAGAGTTGAAATTAATACATATATTTGATATTTGGAGACTGTAGCAGATTCATTTCATTGTTATTACATTTTTAATTTTTTTCTTATTTTTCTCCTTTTTTCTTTTTTGCATGCTTTTATGGCAAATTCTGGGTAATGAAGAATGAACACAACCTTCATCATGAAATCACAGTCTAGTAGAAAGGATGGGTTCCTCATAGGCTAACTATGGCAGTGTGATGTATATGAGATAACATTGTATAAATTGCCCATAAAAAGGTATATACAGAAAATTAAATGCTGAACAAGAAAAAATAGTCCTGGGGCTGGAGCGATAGCACAGCGGGTAGGGCATTTGCCTTGCACGCGGCCGACCCAGGTTCGATTCCCAGCATCCCTTATGGTCCCCTGAGCACCACCAGGGGTAATTCCTGAGTGCAGAGCCAAGAGTAACCCCTGTGCATTGCCAGGTGTGACCCAAAAAGAAAAAAAAAACAGAAAAAATAGTCCTTTTTCCTTTTATATTTGGAAAGTTCCCAAGAGCGAGTGATGCTTGTTATGTGCTTTGCAAAGTTTTCCTTGGGTGGAAAGTCATGAAAAGCTCTTCAGGGAAGGAATGAAAGACAAGCTTTTTTAAAAATTTTTTTATTTTATAAGGTAGTTCACAATATTTGATTACATTTAATATTCAAACACCAATCCCACCACCATTACACCTTCCAACACCAAATTTGGGGTGTTCCCATCCCAAGCCCCAAGCCCTGTCCCAAAGCACAACCGAAATAATATATTTTTTATGTCTGTTATAAAAAAAACAGTTGAAAATGCTACCAAAAAAAAATCCACAGAGGAAACAGTGTGAAGATTGTTCTATTTTGGCAGGGGACATTAAGACATTCTTTAGGACATCACTAACATGTTGTTAAAGGTTGAGTGATGTGAGCTTTCATACATATACCTGAAAATATGTATATGAAAGACAAACTTTAATGATAATATGCAATGTTCTAAGAACAACTGATTAACTTGTCTGCTGTCTCATGGTCAACTTGTTTCTGAAACCCAATATTTTGTGGCAGTTAATTGTTTTCCCTTTTGAATGTTTCTTAGAAGGAACGGATCATCCCCTCAGTGCTCAGGAAACCTCAGGAGGGTCATTTCCTGAAGTGCTGACCATTAGGACAAGAAGCCTCAATGTCAAGGACCAGTGAAATAAATACTGCTTGGGCCCTTTGTTTCTGAAGGCCACTAGGACCACCTCAGCAATGCTTGAGAAGCATGAAATGTCAGGAATCAAACTCGGGGCCTTTTGCACCATTGGCTCCTGAGCTGCCCCTCTAGATTGTCCTTTTAACAGTGAGCTAGAGTATGACTAAATATTTATGATTTATAGTCCCCTAATTCAGATTTTTTTCTTCTGTTCCTTCCCAGTATTCCAAGATGTACACGTCATGATATTTGTTGGGTTTGGCTTCCTCATGACTTTCCTGAAGAAATATGGTTTCAGCAGTGTGGGCATCAACCTTCTCATTGCTTCTCTGGGTCTTCAGTGGGGTACACTTGCTCAGGGACTCCTGCACACTCATGGAAAGAAAATGCATATTGGAATCAAAAGGTGCGCTTCCATGTTTTTTAATCATTTTGTTTTCAACTGTTTCTCTTCTAAGTCTCTCATCAGCCAACACCTGATCTGGTTGCCAAATCCTTTCCCTTAGGCAAGAGAAGATTGTTGGGATCTAGAAGTCCAAACCAATGCCTTGTTCTACTGAGCTATATCATACACTGATGTCTAGATTCTTTCTGCTTCACCATTGGGATATAAGAAATATATTGGGACTGGAACGATAGTACAGTGGGTAAGGCATTTGCCTTCCATGCAGCCGATCTAGGTTTGATTCCCAGCATCCCATATGGTCCCCCAAACACTGCCAGGAGTAATTCCTGAGTGCAGAACCAGGAGTAACCCCTGAGCATCACCGAGTGTGACCCAAAAATGCAAGAAAAGAAAAAGATTAAAAGAAGTTTTCTTTGATAAAATTAATGTTTCATCACCTCATTCATGGGGGGTGGAGACCATTTCTATGATTTATTTTCCTAAGATCATATTTGATGTGTAAACACATGCTCTTGTTATTGTTAAATTGTAAATACTCCTGGGAAAAAATTCATCACATCAACAAAACAAATCCCTAAATGAGATCAAGAATAGGTACTTTGGGGCTGAAGTGATAGCACAGCAGGTAGGGTGTTTTGCCTTGCATATGGCCGACCCGGGTTCAATTTTCAGCATCCCATATGGTCCTCCGAGCATCACCAGGACTAATTTTGAGTGCATGAGCCAGGACAAACTGGCAGGCTACCGAATGTAACCTGCCCACACGGCAGAGTCTGGCAATCTCCCCGTGATGTACCCAATATGCCAAATACCAATAACAATGAAGGGTCTCATTCTCCTAACTCTGAAAGAGCATTTAATATGGCACTTTTTTTAAAAGTCTCAGGGCTAGGACGAAGGAGACGTTACTGGGGCCTGCTCGAGGCAATCGATGAATAACAGGATGGTTGTGATTGTGATTGATTGAGCCAGGAGTAATCCCTGAGCATTGCTGGGTGTGACCCAAAAAGAAAAAAAAAGAATAGGTACATTAAAAATGAAGAAAATAATAGCATGGCTGTGGTGATATCGGCTAATACAACAGGGCTCTTTGAGCAGCACTTGGGGGAACTCCCCCACCGCACCCCCTTAAAAAGTACATAGTGAGTGGAAGGAAGTTTGAGTATGGACGTGTAAAAGGATAAAAGTAGGCCTGGGGGAACCGCCTGGTGGAAATGTTAGAGAAAGGGTCCTGGATAAAGTGAGGCCCTAGCTCATAGCTACTCAAAGCTTTATCTCAATGTGCTCTTACTCTTTGACATATTTCTGTTTGTTTTTCTCTTCAGCATGATAAATGCAGATTTCAGCACAGCCACAGTTCTGATTTCTTTTGGAGCTGTCCTGGGTAAAATAAGCCCAGTACAAATGTTGATTATGACCATTTTAGAAATTACGGTCTTCGCTGGCAATGAATATCTGGTTGTTGAGAAATTTGAGGTAAGTGGCAAGAGAATTAATCCTTACCTGCATTTGTACATTAGTTCTAGTCCTAACACGTAACAGATACCTACTACAAATGGAGAAAAAATTGTTGAAAGCATCACCATAGTACACAGTAACTATAGTCATCATTTGGGTTTCTTTGGAAATAATGAGTTTTACAGATATTCATTTTATCATCCATCACAACCTTAAAAGTAGATATTATTTTTGTTCTATAAACTATAAAATTTATGATAATAAATTTTAAATTACGTTCCTGAATCTGAATATCAAAAGCACATTTTTCTAACTTCACAACTGTTTTTATTACTTTATATTTCCTACCAATGATTGGTTTCTATTTCACCAACTAAGTGAATCTTCCTTTCAAAGACTTTCATGAACTCTAGGCTAAATTCTTTCTCTTCCATGAAAATCTCAGTGATTTCCCAAGGATAATAAATAAAATATTTTTAATATATTGTGCATGCTTTTATAACTGTAGAGCAAATATTTTTGCAACTTCCTGGGTGCCATATTTTGGTGACATAGTTACAAATAAAATAGCTAAGGTCCCTGTCTTTATAGAACTCATTGTTCAGTAGGGGAGGCAGACATCAAACAAATAATTTACATTCACCTACCCAATCATAGACACACAAAAATATGACTATAAATTGCATGCTATAAAAAATAACTGGAAAGGACTATGAGAGGGTGTAAAATGCAGACCTAATTAAATTATGGGATAAAGAAAGGGCTTTGAAGAAGAGACTAATAAGTTAAACCTGAAAAGTGTGTAAGAATTTCCATCTAATATTTTTTTAAAAAAGCAGAATCTCGGGGCTGGAGCGATAGCACAGCGGGTAGGGCATTTGCCTTGCACGCGGCCAATCTGAGTTCGATTCCCAGCATCCCATATGGTTCCCTGAGCGCCGCCAGGAGTAATTCCTGAGTGCAGAGCCAGGAATAACCCCTGTGCATTGCCGGGTGTGACCTAAAAAGCAAAAAAAGCAAAAAAAAAAAAAAAGCAGAATCTACTTAAACTGTATTCACTGAAATTACTAAATTTGTATAACTGACCTACCTTTCTCAGTACACACCAATGCCTTGGGTTTGGCTCTCTGAAATTTTCTTCTAAGAGTAGGAAATACAGAGAACTAAATCAAATGTGTGCTGCCATCCAAGGGAAGCTACGATATTTCTTTTAGAACAAATCTCGGATCTCAGCCTATTTTCATGCCGTCATAGAGCAGAATGAAAAGATATGGGGAAGATGTAGGCTTTTCAAAACTTCAAGAGTTAAGAGAACTTCAATTGCAATGTGAACATACACCCCCCAAAAATCATTTTTTGTTTAGTATCAAGTGCCAAGTACAGCGTGTAACTCTGCATCTTCCTAGTCTAAAGAATTAATGAAAATGTACTGAGTTTCCACTGAGGACCTGGAATGTTCCAAACATGGGCTCAAGTAAGTCTCACCACCAGCTATGTTACAGGCACTATTTCCCCACTTGACAAGACTTGAGATTAAGAGAAGTATATTTATCCAAATCCACCTCACAAGGAAATGCTTGATTTAGGGTTAAATGTCAATCAATTCAATGTCTCTGGATGGCTGTGAAAATTATTTTTCATTTAATTTCATAATCCTACTATAACCCCTGTTCCCTGACACATTTTTTCCCTTTCTCTTGATGTGTTTATTGTTTAACCAATGGAGCATTCTTTCATTGACTTCGCCCCAGTGCTGACACCTAGCTTCACCTCTATTTACATGAATGATTCTATCTTAGGCATCTGATGTTGGAGCATCAATGACCATCCATGCCTTTGGAGCTTACTTTGGCTTGGCAGTAGCAGGTGTCTTATATCGACCTGGCCTGAGAAGGGGGCATGACAATGAGGAATCCGTGTACCATTCAGATTTGTTTGCAATGATTGGTGAGTAGATATAAACTTCCCTGATTTTTTTGACTATCGATCAAGGGAAAGCTGCCCCCAGAGCAGGTGTGAAGAGGGAAAAGAAAGGACAGAGACAGTACAGGAGCGAGCAAGTGTCTTGCACTCAGGTGACCCTGGTTCTACCTCTAGGGTCCCCCAAGCATGCCTGAGCATTACGCCACAGTCGATCCTGAACACAGTGGAGTGCAACCCAACTCTCTATCCCCAGAATGGAAGGACTGAATATTTCTCCGGTTGGTTTTGACTCTGTGCTTCTTTTTTTCCCCTAACTCTTTGCAACTGAGGCTGGAAGTAGACACAGTGTCAGTGTTTAAAACCCTCAGTTTCTCCTGGACTGTTTCCCATATTCTGAACCACAAGTTCACAAAATTATATGACCTACCTTCCCCATTTTCAGAAAAAGTGATTACTCAGCACCCACCACATCAATCTATTGGCATCAATAGACAAACAGAAATCACCTCCCAACTGCACTCAAGACTACTAACCTCTTAATATAAGCCCCTCCTCCACACATACCACCCACCCCCTCCCTGCATCATTCCAGGGGCCACGCCACCCCCCAAACGCAGAAGGCAGTATCACCCACTTTTGAAAACACTGTGCTAATAGCTTTCTTTTTGATTTACTGCAGGAACCCTTTTCCTGTGGATGTTTTGGCCCAGCTTTAACTCAGCCATTGCTGAACCAGCAGCAAAACAGTACAGAGCCATTGTAAACACCTACTTCTCTCTTGCTGCCTGTGTGCTAATAGCCTACGCATTCTCCAGTCTTGTGGAGCACCGAGGCAAGCTGGATATGGTAAGAGCCATGGGAAGTCCATGGAAAGTGTCATGTTAAGCGAAATGAGTCAGAAAGAGCGGGATAGACACAGAAAGATCGCATTCATCTGGGGAACATAAAGCAACAAAATGGGAGACTAACACCCAGGAGTGGCTGAGATTAGTACCAGGAATTTTGCTCCATGACTTGGAGGCCAGCCACACATGCTGGGGGAAAAGGGAGCTCAGATAGAGAAGAGAGCACCAAATAAAGGGTGTTTGGCGGATCCTCCCAGGGTGGGAGAAGCATGCTGAAAGTAGACTATAGACCAAACATGATTCCCACTCAATGCCTCTCTTGCAAAACACGGGACCCAAAAGAAGAGAGAGAGAACAAGGGGGAATGCCCTGCCACAGAGGCAGGGTGGGATGGGGGGGTGGGAGGTGGGAGGGATGCTGGGACCCGTGGTGGTGGAGGATGGGCGCTGGTGGAGGGATGGGTACTTGATCATTGTATAACTGAAACCCAAGCACAAAAATTTGTAAGTCTATAACTGTACCTCATGGTGTTTCAATAGCACAGCAGGTAGGGCATTTGCCTTGCACACGGCCGACCCAGGTTCAATTCCCAGCATCCCATATGGTCCCCCGAGCACTGCTACGAGTGATTCCTGAGTGCATGAGCCAGGAGTAACACCTGAGCATCGCCGGGTGTGACCCAAAAAGCAAAAAAAAAATTAAAAAATTTAAAAAATAATAATAATAAAAAGAGCCATGGGAAGTCCATGCAGATTTCACTAAGTCTTACTGATGGTTGCTACATGAGTGAGTCCTTTCTGCCCCAACAGATCACAACACTGCAGACCACAAAGAATATTTTGAACATCAAATTTGTGTTTTGCAATGCAGGTATTTTTTCTGAGGTTTATTTTTTATGAGCGAAAGATATCTCCAAGTTCTTAGAAGATCCTCCTTAGAAAGAGATCTTGTCAACAATAGCAACAACAACAAAAAAATTGAGGTGGATCAAACTGGCTCTATTTTCCAAAATGCAAATAAAAAATTCAAATTTAAAAAAATGCAAATAAAAAAATTGGGGTGGAGCAAACTGGCTCTATTTTCCAAAATGCAAATATCCCTGTCCAAGAACTAACAACTAAATGTGATGCAGGATCCAGACCAGTTTCTGGAAAAGAAACGGAGCGATAGCAGAAATAACGGCTAAGTTCAAATAAGTTATCTAACGTATTATATTCATTAGCAATTGACAATGTTAAACGCCCAGCTTTATGATTATATAAAGTGTTATCTTTGGGGGATCTGGGTGAGGTATAGATGGAAACTCTTCTCAATATTTTTGAAACCTTCACCTAAGTCTTTGATAGGCCAAGCACAGTAACAACAAGTCTCACAATGAAGACGTTACTGGGCCCGCTCGAGCAAATCGATGAACAATGGGAGGGCCTTACTTAATTGGGGCCCAGGAATGTGACTTAATTAATGGGCGAGCACACACCTCGTATATGTAAGGCTATGAAGAGTGCTCCCACATTACTGATTCCAATTCCCAGCACCACTGGATGTGGTCAGAGGTACCACAAGTGCTACCACCAGACTACAAGGTAACCACAGGGAAAAAAAAACAAAAACCAAAAAACCCTAGTTAGTCATTTGAGCTTCTTGTATAAAAGCTTCAGAAAAGGCAACAAAGGAGTAATCCTCATGTCAATGACTCTTTTCTGACTTGACAGAAATATATATATATTTATAATATATAATATATAAATATATATCAGAGTCTGGCAAACTTCCCGTGTTGTACCCAATATGCCAAATACCAGTAACAATGGTGGGTCTCATCCTCCTAATCCTGAAAGACCCTTGAAATGGCTCTTTTAAAATCTCAGGGCTAGGAAGAAGGAGACATTGCTGGTGCCTGCTCCAGACAATCGACGAATGACAGGATGATCATGATTTATAATATAAATATATAGTATGATTTTGTTTTAGCAAGGATGTATTGCTAAGGATGTATTCTTATAATTTTTCTACAAATTGATTCCTGATACAAAGTAGTAAACAGTTCAGAGGTTTTACGGTACAAGTACTGCTGACCTGTCCTGGGTCAAAACAGCCAGATAGGATGTTTCTGGTTATAGCATATAGTAATCCACTTCTCCCTCCTCTTAAATGTCTTCAATACAGCAGCACTTGCTAAAGCTTGTCTTTAGTAAACAGCACATCCATTTCGGAGTCTCATTATTTCCTCTTCGAATTTTGGAGTATGATAGACTCTACAAAACATACAGCAACTGTAGACCGCTAGGAACATGTAGTAAACACAAATGTGTTTTTAAACATCAATAGGCAAAACACTCCTCAATATCATCCCATTCTTCCACTCAGCCTTCTTTGATTTTTTTTTGTTTGCTTATTTGTTCTTGGGTCAAAGCCAGCAGTGATCAGGGGTTACTCCTGGCTTTACACTTGGGAATTACTCCTGGTGTTGATCAGAGTACCATACGGTGTGCTGAGGATCAAAAATTGCAAGTTGTGTACCCACTGTACTATATCTCATCTCTCTGGCCCCACTTTTTCAGATTTCTTCCTATCCCTTCCTTCGCAGGACTCACTCAGAAACACTACCACTACCCTGTCAGGCCACACAAGAAATGTCAACTTCTGTTAATTTACAAAAGAACGGCCTCCAATAATAACTAAGAACTCTCATTTTGAATTAATCATCAGTAGCCCCCAGGCCTGAATGTCAGTACAGCAGGCTTTTAGCCTTGCTGGAGGTCTACCAGGTTTAATCCCCAGACCTCTTTATGATCTTCCACCAGGAATAACCCCTAAGTTTAGAACCAGGAATAAACCCTGAGCATCCACCGCTGGGTGTGGTCCAAAAAAAGAAGAAAAAAGAAAAAAATCAGCAGCCTTTTCAAAAGATTCCCAGACTTGTATCACCTACTGGCCACTTTTCAGAGGGGGAAAAAAAATCACTCAGCACCCAGACCCCCTAAAAATCGAATATCATTAAGAGAATAAACAAAAAGCTCCCCTCAATTGTATCTCTCCTCCCGCTTCCCAGCACCTCCTGATAACCCCCACTTTGGGAAAGACTGAGTCTTTGGTCTTCTAAAACGTCCACTGAGCTCCGGATTCCTTCTGTGTTTCGGACCCCTGTCTGGCTGAGCTGACCCCATCCTTGTCTCTCTTCCATGCAGGTTCACATTCAGAATGCAACTCTTGCCGGGGGTGTTGCTGTGGGCACGTGTGCGGACATGGAGATCAACCCTTACGGGTCCATGATCATTGGAAGCGTCGCAGCAATGATCTCTGTGCTGGGGTTCAAGTTCTTGACTGTGAGTGTGCCAAGTGCTCGAAGTCAGAATTGAGTCTGCGACCTCGGCTTCTCGTACTCCACTAGCTGAGAAAAGCCAGGAAAATTCCCTTTGTTAAATTTTTTTTCTTTGTTGGAGGATCACTTGTCTTGCAGTGAGCCACAGCGGCTTCTAGTCTTTTTTAATGTATGTAGCAGGAAAGAATACCACATTATTCACAACTTAGTCTGAGTTGAATTTAAGTATTTGGTTTTATTTCTTCTGATGTTTTTGCTTTTGTCATTTATTTAAAATATCTTAGGGGGGGCTGGAGCAATAGCACAGCGGGTAGGACGTTTGCCTTCTAGGCGGCTGACCCAGGTTCGATTCCCAGCATCCCATATGGTCCCCCAAGCATCCAGGAGTAATTCCTGAGTGCATGAGTCAGGAGGAACCCTTGTGCATCCCTGGGTGTGACCCAAAAAGAAAAAAAATTAGGATGCTAAGGAATTTTTTTTAATTTAGGTTATCAACAATAGATAATAAGCATAGGATTTGAATTCACTCTTCTTCACATCCACCTTCTAAAGACAAAAAACATTTTGCCACCCGGGCGGGAGCGATAGCACAGCAGGTAGGGCATTTGCCTTGCATGCGGCAGACCAGGTTTTGATTCCCAGCATCCCATATGGTCCCCTGAGCACCGCCAGGAGTAATTCCTGAGTGCATGAGCCAGGACTAACCCCTGTGCATCGCTGGGTGTGACCCAAAAAGCAAAAAAAGGAAAAAAAAAAGATGTCTCAGAGACTCTTAAAAAAAAAAAACATTTTGCCACCTGTGTAGTCAAATTCTTTCACGTCGGTGGACTTTATGGACACTTGATTAAATTGTCCTGCGTAGTCATTCAGTTTACTCACAGAGTTCTGCATATTCAACAAAATAACAAACCTTTTTCCTTGTATGTAATTGCAGCCGTTTTTTGCTACTAAACTGCGGATCCAAGATACCTGTGGGGTCCACAACCTACACGGCTTACCGGGTCTAGTGGGCGGCGTTGCGGGCATCGTGGCGGTGGCTATGGGCGCGTCAGACACGTGAGTAAAGGCCTGCTTTTTCCTGCCGTCCACCCTGATGCCCCCACTGCCTCATCTGTTCCCCGTCATCTGTTCCCTGACTCTGCAAAATTCGTCAGTGAAAGTTTTCTCTTATCAGGAGAAACGGTCGTTTATAAGTATTTGTCCTTATTAAAGTCAAAGAGGCACAACCAAAAGAACAGAATGGCTTTGGAAAAATAGATACTAAGGGTTGTTGTTGTTGTTGTTTAATGCTGTTGATGTTTTGTTTAATTAACAGTCCTGTAGCACTGTCCTCCCGTTGTTCATCGATTTGCTCGAGCGGGCCCAGTAACGTCTCCACCTTGAGACTTGTTGTTACTGTGTTTGGCATGTTGAATACATCACAGGTAGCTTGCTAGGCTTTGCCCTGAAGGCAAGATACTCTCGGTAGCTTGCTGGTCTCTCCAAGAGGGGTGGGGGAATCGAACCAGGCTCAGCTGGTCCAGCCACGTGCAAGGCAAACGCCCTACCGCTGTGCTATCGCTCCAGCCCTTAATTAACAGTATCAGTTAAAAATTTTTGTGCTATATGCAACTGTATGCTATTAGTGAAATTCAGTGATCAGGGGCTTCCCATCTTACTATATTGTGTCTGGATGCACTAACATGAAGAAAATGCCAAACCAAGAGGTCATTCTTCCCCCACCGCACAAAGGAAACCAAGTTTCCTGATGTGGAGAGTTATTTGAATATGGGAAATTAGGCTGACATGTGGCTTCAACTTTGCTCCTTACTATTCATGTAACTTTTGAATGTCACCCAATCTTTCTGGTTCTCGGTTTTCTCTTCTTTTCTTTCCTTTTCTTTTCTTTTCTTTTTTATGGAAGAATTGTACTATTTATACTCTAAAATCTCATTTAGTTCTAAAACACCTATGTTCTTTCCAGAATAGTATCTGAGTTTATCTACATAGACAAAGAATAGCAGGAAGGGTTCTTGCCTTGTATGCGGATTTGATTCCCAGTATCCCATATGGTCCTCTGAGCCCCACCAAGAATGATCTGTGAACACAGAGCTAGGAATTAAGTTTTGAACACTACCTGGTGTGGCCCACAAATCCAAACCAAAAACCAAAAACAAGTTCTCAATTTTAGTAGATTTAACCTCTGCTGATACCAATAATAATAAATATTTGCAAAAGTTCATATTCATATTTTCTAATGGAAAGTGTGTTTCCTTTTTCAAGTCTATAATTAATCTAATTCTTCTACCTTTTTTTTTTACCCTTTTTGCAGATTCTGAGGGCTATCCTCAAATAGCTACATTTTTATTTTCTTTCAGTTTTCTCTGGGACCAAACTAGATGTAGAGACCAAATACTAAAACTATTTTAAAGCAAATCAGATTTTAATATAAATCAAGACTCATGATACAATTATCAGTGAATGAGCTCAGCTTCTAGGTATTATAAGAGCCTAATCATTATGTAAACATTCTGAAGAAGTAGTTTAGGATGAGGAATAGAGGAATTCTTCAGCCTCATGCCTAGACTGGTTTCATAGATGCAGCAAAACAAGTCTATCTAGCTCTGGAAGACTGGGTCTCACTGGGTGGCCAGATTTGGGGTAGATTTCACTTTGGAGAGTCTAGTCCTTGTATATACAGTTTTAGCATCAACTCAATTTATTCTTAGGGAACTGGCAGGCGGGTACCCTGGAAGACTCATTCACGTAGGTAAGAGACCGCTCATGCATGAGATAGAATATGTCATGCAAAAAATCAAAACTATTCATTTACATGTGTGCACTCAGTGGTAAAATGCAAATTTTCTTGGTAGCATAGAAAAAGGAGAAATTATTCTAAAGGGACATTTTGCAAATCACAGGAGTTTAACTTGAGGTTACTAATTTTCCTTCATCTACTGTTTTTCTAGTCTGTTTTATCATAGAATGCTTTTCATTCACAGAACTTTTTAATGATGAACAAAAAGTTTGGCAGATTCTAGAAAAATGGGAAAGCAGTGTAGGGCCTGGGAAGGTAGCTCGGTGCTAAAGCTTCTGCTCTAGGGTTTCATGATTTATGGTTTCATGGTTTCATGAGACCACAAAATCAAACCCCACCCCGCATCACCTATGGTCTATGAGCATTGAGCATATGAGCATATGAGCATAGAGCATCACGTATTTATTCATTTCGTGATTTATGGTTTCATGGTTTCATGAGACCACAAAATCAAACTCCACCCCGCATCACCACCGAGTGCCAATCCCAACTCAGCTGTGTGATTTCTTAGCCGTGTCATCGAGTATGCAATGCCCTGGCACGCCTACACACATTCACAAAACAACCACAACAACCAAAGAAGACCATGAATTATTTTCAAAATAAACATTGTCTTTTTAAAAAGTCTGTTTACAATAATGCAAATCAATTAAACGTATGTTAATAAACTAACTTCACTAGAAAAGAAAGGGCTGGAGCGATAGCACAGCGGGTAGGGCGTTCGCCTTACAAGCGGCCAACATGGCCGACCCGAGTTCGATTCCTCCGCCCCTCTCGGAGAGCCTGGCAAGCTACCGAGAGTATTCGATATGCCAGACACAGTAACAACAAAGTCTCCAATGGAGACGTTACTGGGCCCGCTCGAGCAAATCGACGATCAACGGGAGGGCCTTTACCTTTACCTTTACCTAGAAAAGAAATGTAAATAATTTACAAATCAGCAGGTTTTTTTAGTTATGAAGCTGACAGTTCAATCTAGTACTAGTGTTTATAATTAAAGAATTAAAGTATAAATTGTATAATTTTTTATTTGGACAGGGTCGGAAGAGGTATATTACCATCTACTAATCATAATTTCTTTTTTTTAATTATTTTATTGCTTTCTACACACAAAATCCTACCTTATTCCTTTTCTCCAGACCATTCTACTTAAAACCTTAGCTCTGTTACCAGTGTCCACTGATTTGTCTTTTTAATTTGTCTGTTCATCAATTTTGTAGCTTTCTATAACACAGATAGGTGGACTCATCTAATACCTGTCTTTTTCCTTTTGGCATTTTACACCTTACATAAGTGGGATTACTGCTTCTAGCCTTCCCTATCTGAAGAACATAAAAAATAATCTGAAAAGATATAAACACACATGTTTACTACAATAACATTTACAATAGCCCAAATTTGGAAACAAACCTGGTATCCAACAGTAGTTGAACTAATAAAGATGACATTTTGTTTTGTCCACAATATATCTGATATTGGGAATATCTTACTAAGTGAAATGAGTCAGACAGAAAAAGACAAATACCAGATGATCTCACTCACTGGTACATAAAGAAGCAAGATAAAGAAATTGTGCAATGATTATCCAAAACAAACCCTAAGGCTTAGACCAGAGATTTGAGATTACCAAAAGGTAAAAGAAAGTAGGAAACCTTTGAAGAGTGGTTGAGTGAGATGGTCGTGTGATAATATTATATCCCTAAAACATATCATCACCGGGGCTCCCAGATTTAGACAGCCCTTAAGGTATGCACATCTAGTTGCGTTCCATTCCAGGCATCATTAGGTGTGGTCCCAAATCCAAAACAAAAAGAAAAACATAAATACACAGTTGTAAACTTATGTTACCTAAACAATTTAAATGCACATATATTTTAAAGTGGCTAAGTCTTGGGGGGTCGAGTGGTAGTACAGTGGATAGGGTATTTGCCTTTTATGTGGCCAACCAGAGTTGAATTTCTATCCCCACGTACATTGCCCTGAGCCCTGTCAGGAATAATCTCTAAGCAGAGCCAGGAGTTTAAGCCCTAAGCAGTGCCAGGTATGGCCCCCCCAAAACAAGCATAGTGACTTATTCTTTTTCCTCCTCCTCTTCCTCTTCCTCCCCCTCCTCCTCCTCTCTTCCTCCTCCTCTTCCTCTTCTTTCTCCTCATCCTACTTCTTCTTCTGATGCTCAGGGCTTACTCCTGGCTCTGGGATCAGGGATCACTCCTAGCAAGCTTGGATGACTATATGCGGTGCAGAGAATTAAAACAGGATCGGGTATGAAGGCTTTATTGCATGTGCTATCTCTCCGGCCTATCTTTAACTTCTTAAAAAAAAAAGCCTCCTGATGCTTTCTAAAATGCTTAAACCAGTTTAAATCCATAATATAATCTCATTTTTGATAGGTTTTATTTTAGGGACGTTAATGTATGTTTTCAAGAATGCACGTAAGAACTTGTCCTAACAGTATTTTCAAAATTATGGAACACTGGGAGAAACGTAAATATCTAATGTAACTATGATTAGTTTTTGCATAATGTAATAGTCTGTAGTAATTTAAACTATGATCCCAACCTATTAATATAGGACATGAGAATTTAAAGGAAAAATCAGTATTATAGTGTGATTGTATTTTTATAATGCATGTTTATATTTTGAACTGATAGAATTTGAAAGAAATTGGATGCCTTTTCTCCACTCCTCGCAACTCCTGAGGAGAGGACCACACCAGCAGTGCCCGTGGATTACTCTAGACTCTGTGCTCAGGGATCACTCCTGGTGTTGCTCAAAGGACCATACATAGTACCAGGGGTTGAGCTGGGGTCCACCACATGCAGGCAAAGACCTTAATCTGTGTATACCATCTCTCCAGCTTCCTTCTTTTCTTTTTATTAATTAGTAACTTCTAATTTTTCACTGGTCATGTGTTATGTGTACAATAAATATTTTCTATACTGAGTTTTTTAATTTTCCAAAGTAAGCAATAAAAGGAAATCTGAGTTTAGTGCATTCATTCTCTTGAATTAAAATACCAACAACTTTAGTTGTTATTGGCCTTCATTTGTTTTCTTGGACTCACTCACCCAGTCTTTCAAAAACCAATAGCCAAAAGTGACACAATATGAGACCCTATCTTTCTAGTTCATCTTTTTCACTCCTCCTATCTTTTTCACTCCTCTGACACCCTTACACTTTTCAATCTCTTTTTTAACCAAACTATTCCGATCCAGAGTGCAAAGTATTTTAAAACTCATTTCATCTTTAAAGTACGTACTTCTAAGATGACATATAGATACATAGTCTTGTCTGTAGTACATGGTAAAATCAGATTTCCTGACCTTGGGTGATTTGGGGGAAGTTTTATCAAAGTTGTTTCTTTAGAGATGGGGTGAAAAAGAAATAAACAAGAAGTTCTTGTTTATTTTGTGTGCTATCATCAGAGCCTACAGAAGAATTCGGCATGAGCGAGTACTAGGTGAATAATTGTTGAATGAACCAAACCAACAATCAAGGACAATGCTTCTAGAAAACACGAGGCTCAGAATAAGATATGAGGTCGAGACACATGCCCTGCGTGCATGCAACTGACCCTAGTTCGATCCAGTTACACGTGTCCTCTCAATCTTCCCGCTCCCCCCAATCCTCTCCTCCCCCCACCCCCAGCGCTCCTCAGCACCTTCAGGTGTGTCCCTGGAAGTCCCGGGCACAGCCTTGGTGAAGGTCTAATTCCTAGCAGCGACATAGCATCCTTTGGCCGGTGTATTGAAACCAGACTGGTCTAGAATTTTTTGGAAGAGACCCGGGGGTCCCCCTGAGCAGGATGCGGGAGCATCCCAGTACCTGTCACCCCACCCCCCCAAAAAAATTAAGCCCTTTTTCATGGAAAGTTGTGTGTATTTTGTTTTGTTGTTTATTGCTGTTGTTATTCCTGAAGGGGAAAAACCTGATTGTAATTTAAGTATTTGTAAGTTGGGGTTTTATTTTTTCAAAAACCTCTCAGGAATATTTGCCGGCATGCAATATTGCACTCCGTCCTGTAGATGGCAGGCGCCCACACCCTCAGGATAGGTTCTGCATGAGCTTACACTGTTCTTTTCTTCCTTTTTCTAGGTCTAGCGTGACCATGCAGGCAGCTGCTTTAGGTTCCTCGGTTGGGACTGCGCTTGTTGGAGGGCTGATAACAGGTCAGTGTAAAAAAGTAAAGCCTTCTCGATATCGAATATTCCCATCATGATAAACTAGAAATGTGGTGAGTGCTCCATTGATAAATTTGAATTTGGAATAAAATTGGTAAACTCAAGGGGCTGTGGGTCAGAGAGGTAGTACGGAGGGTGGGGCAATTGTCATGCATGCATGCACGCATGTTCCTAGCATCTCATACTGCTCCCAAGTTCTCCAGCAGTGATCCCTGAGGACATAAAGTAACAAAATAGGAGACTAACACCCAAGAATGGCCGAGATTAGCACCAGGAATTTTGCTCCATGGCTTGGAGGCCAGCCACACATGCTAGGGGAAAAGGGAGCTCAGATAGAGAAGGGAGCACCAAATAAAGGGAGTTGGGAGGATCCTCCCAGGATGGGAGATACATGCTGAAAGTAGACCATAGACCAAACCCTGCCACAGAGACAGGGTGGAATGGGCAGGAAGCGGGGTGGGAGGGATACTGGGATCCATGGTGGTGGGAAATGGGCACTGGTGGAGGGATGGGTATTTAATCATTGTATAATTGAAACCCAAGCACAAAAATTTGTAAGTCTACAACTGTACCTCATGGTGTCTCACTAATAAAAATAAAAAATAAAATAAAATAAAAATCCCTATAGACATAGAAAGATTGCATTCATCTGGGGGATATAAAGTAACAAAGTATGAGATTAATACCCAAGAATAGCTGAGATCAGCACCAGGAGGATTACTCCATAACTTAGAGGTCAGCCGGGTATCCTAGAGGAAAGGGCAGCTCAGATAGAGAAGGGAGCACCAAATAAAGGATGTTTGGAGGATCCTCCCAGGAGGGGAGATGCATGTCGAAAGTAGACTATGGACTGAACATGATTGCCACTCAATGCCTCTTTTGCAGACCACAACACCCAAAAGGAGAGAGAGAACACAGGGGATTGCCCTGCCACAGAGGCGGGGGGGGGGGGGGGGGGATGGGGGATGGGGGGGGGGATATTATCCATGGTGGTGGAAAATGGGCACTGGTGGAGGGATGGGTATCTGATCATTGTATAATTGAAACCCAAGCACAAAAAATTGTAAATCTACAACTGTAAAAAAAAATAAATAAAAATAAAGGGAAAAAATAAAATAAATAAATAAATAAATAAAAATCCCTAAACAAAGCTGGGTGTGACCCAAAACCAAAACAATACACACACACACACACACACACACACACACACACACACACACGCGCGCGCGCAAGCAAGCCCAGGGGCGTTGATTTAATGAATATGCTGGTAGATTCTCATATTCAGTATCATAACCTGATACATTCCCACCACTTTCTCAGGTTTAATTCTAAGGATACCTATATGGGGACAGCCATCTGATCAGAACTGCTATGATGATTCTGTTTATTGGGAGGTATGTATTCTGTTCTAAATAAGCTTACAAATGATGACTCAAGGTAGGTGTCTGCGTGGAATCCATGCGATGAAATTGAATAAACTCCCTATCTATAGAAAAAAATAAAAATAATGTGTCCAGATATTTAGAGGTTGTTTTTTTTTTACGTGGTTTCCAAAGTAGAAGCCATATGAATAAAACACAGAATTTAGGTATCAAATAAACTTAAGAGTGATAGTTGCTTGTGTATTCAATGAGATTTTCAGAGAGAATGAGTTTGGGAAAGAGAGACTGTAGTCAGGAAGAATGGAATACTTCTGTTCTTTTGTTTTTCACCAACTTGGGTCATTTTTATCCCCAGTTCTTTCTAAGCCTGGATACAAATCTCTGAGAGGTGCAGGTAAAGATACTTCCAAGTATCCTAATCATATTTTCTTTAAAGGTCCCTAGGTGGAGAGAACATGACCATCATTTCCAGGAACATGAAGGTCATCGCTATCTGCAACCTGAAATCTAAATACCATTCCTGAATTCAGTCTTCTCTTCCAAAATCTGGAATCAAGTTTAAATGCAACATCAAAGGAGCAAGAGAACAGATAAATCCTGCGTTCATAATACGTAGTATAAAATATCTTAGCCTGATTCCTCTCTTGATATTCAATGAGATTTTAGTTGAAGGAATGTTGTCCATAATCCATGGTCAAATGAATTCTATTCACAGTTCCCAGATTACAGGTTAATATGTCGTGTATATTCATCTTTTTTCTTCCCATGGATGTAGTTTTACAATGATATTGGTGCTTTCTAATCACACAGATTTCTTGATGTAAATATTATACATCAATTCCAAAGATTATAAAACAGAAGCTAATGCAACAATCTATCTTAAAAACTATATAGACAAAATTATGTATGTAAAGTAGTAACAATATTGTTTTGGGTAACTTTTTTTTTTTACTTTTAAGGTAATATAGTTAATGTTGTTACATCTTTTCTTGAGTATTCTGGTGTTTGGTTCCTTTTGCATATTTGCTATTTGCAGCAAAAGATTGAATGTTACCGAAACAAAGTTTATTTTGTATTGAACTTCAATAGATAAAATGTAATTTAAAAAAAAAGCTGGAGAATGTAATTCAGTGGTAGAATGCATGCCTCATATATGCAAAGCCCTGGGTTTTATCCCCAGAGCAAAACTAAATCAAAATAAAATAATTTCAAACATTAGTCTTCGGCTTTCCTTGCTTTTGTTGGTAGATATGTAATAACATGCACACACATACACATTTCTTCTATTTGGTCCATATTGAATCTAAATAAATCATAATATCATTTACTAGAAATATCAAACAAATGGTTTGCATTGTTGAATACGTTTTAGATAGCTGAGTTTTAGAAGATAATTAACATGGGTTTTCAAAAACATTCTTAGGAAAATTGAATAACTTTTTTCAATATAAATGAAACATTAATTCACTATCAAAAAAGTATAAAATCCCTTAGCAATCTCGGAAAAAACAGACCTTTCTTAATCTTATAGAGGCTATCACAAGCACAATGAGTGCCACATTTAAATGGCAAAGTGCTAAGAAGTTTGTCCTGTCTTTTAAAGATCTTTTAATACTTCTTGCAAAACTTGTTTTAGGCTATGAATTCCCCATGCTGAGTAGTTTGTCCTTGTTGCCTATCTATGAAGCTATGTATTTTTCCCTTAAATCTGAATGATATTCCAGATGGATAAAGTGTTCTTGGTGAAGTTTTTATTTCACTAAGGGTTTTATTTGTTTGTTTGTTTCTATATACCATCATTTCTTTTTGGTTCATAGAATCTCAATTGATCTGTTGAATTAATCTTTGAATCTTGCTTTCATAAGTTCCTATTTTTGGTCTTGCTGTTTTCTGTAGTCGCTCTCTATCCTTGGATTTTATAATTCTGATTATAATTTATCTTGAAGTGTTTCTATTTGGTTCTATTTTCTCTGGAACCTTTCTGGTTTCTTGGATCTGGATGCCTTCCAACTTCCACACTCCTCCAACTAATCATTCTTCATTGAATTTGCTGATCTCATCTATAGGGACTTCAGTGATTCTTCTAGTATTTCACTTGACCTGATGTGTGATCTGTGTTTGAATGTGCTGGTGACCTGATGTTCTCTGATGTGCTATTCATTTCCTTTCCAGCTTTCTTCCGACTTCTGTTGTTCTCTAAAGATTCCCAGCGTCTCATGGTGGAGCTCCTTAATCTTTTTTCTGCTATTATTCTGCTATTCCAACCTTCTATTGTGTGTTTTATTCACTAACCATAGTCTTCATTTCTGTCACTTCTGAATGTAATTTTCTTATTTTCATTCTTATGCTTTCTTGGGCCTGGCTGACTACCTGTGCTATCACTTCTTTGAGCTCCTTAAACATCCTCAACTGGGGTGAGTAAAATAACTCTCTCTGAGAGTTCCGGGACTGGTTACAACTGGTGGGGTCTTCTGTGTTATTATTATTTTCTCTCATTGAGCTTCGCTGTTTTCTAAGCATCTTTCTCATTGTGTTTGCTGGGTTCCCTCTGTGCAAAGGGTAAATATTTGTAGTTAATTCCCCTGGGAGTCTCTGAGCAAATAGTAAGCGTGTTGCTCTTTTCTTACTCTACCTGTTTTCTCCTAAGGACAAAATGTGTAAGTGTGAGCTGTGTGAGGGGCAATGAGTAGAGCTATAACATGGCCAAGAGATCAAGGCAGAAAAGTTTGGGCATGGAGGCTACTGGGACCCAGGTGGAAGGGAGAGGAATCTGCTTCCAGATTGGAAAAGGCTTTGGGATGTCACCTAGGAGGTTTCCCTCAACTGGAGGGTTGGAGGTCCAAGCAGTGGTCCAAGAAATGTGGAGGTGGCCTGTTGGGAAGATGGTGCAGGGGTTAAGCCCAAAGAACGCTTTGACCCTCTTTGAAAAGTTTAGGAACTTCCCTGGATTATCACTATTTCAAAATATTCCCTGGGTGTGTCTAAGTATCTATGAATAAATCAGTCCTAATATAATTAACAAAACTTTAGATCCTGAATGCTAGAACATAAAAATTAAAAACTGGATAATATAGTGTTGGTTCTACTGGAAAAGTACTCCAAGAAGAGATCCTAAATGTTTTATGAGGCCGATGAAATATTTCAATATGCATCAGTTTCTCTTCCAAGTAAGTTTTCTGAAACATGTTTTTTACAAACATAAAGCTCACTGCCATCTCCCTTGATGATCCTCATGAAGAATCGTCTTCAGTATCAGAATATCCCCAGACTTTCTCATTCCCTGCTGGCTTTAAGGTAAAGTTTGGAAGGTCTTCAGGGCTGGAGCGATAGCACAGCTGTAGGGCATTTGCCTTGCACGCAGCCAACATGGTCGACCTGAGTTCGATTCCTCCGCTCCTCTCGGAGAGCCCGGCAAGCTACCGAGAGTATCTTGCCCGCACGGCAGAGCCTGGCAAGCTCCCCGTGATGTATTCGATATGCCAAACATAGTAACAACAAAGTCTCCAATGGAGACGTTACTGGGCCCCCTCGAGCAAATCGATGAACAACGGGAGGACAGTGACATAGCTATACTCAGATACTTTTTGTTTTGTTTTGTTTTTTATACTCAGATACTTTTAAAAGTCTATAGTTTTATGTGCCAAGGAATTGAGTTGTGATGGTCAGATATCCCTGGTTGGTGAATACTCTTTTGCTCGCTTCTTTCTTCTTGCTATAATACAGTCTGGCTCCGGGCACATCTCTTTGATTCCACTGTTCTTCCTGCATTAACATACGCCTCAGAGACCTGGGCCCTATGCAAACAGGATGAGAACGCTATTTGGGTCTCCCAAAGAGGAATTGAAAGAGCTATGCTTGGAATATCACGTTTCACTCAAATGAAAGAATCCGGAGTTCCGACATCCCTCGACGATCAAGAATCAGGGACGCTGTCTCGTTTGCCAAGGTGTCGAAAATCAGATGGGCTGGTCACGTAATAAGATTTAAAGACGACCTCTGGACTAGAGCTGTTACCCACTGGATTCCACGGGATGTCAAAAGACCACGTGGCCGCCCACCTACCAGATGGTCAGACTTCTTCGTGAAGATCATGAACGATCAGTTTGAGGCTCTTCAAGTTCCCAGAGCGAACAGATGCCATTGGGCTACACTAGCACTCGACAGGGACAAATGGAGACGTTACTGGAGCCCGCTCGAGCAAATTGCCGATTAACGGAAAGTCAAGTGATCAAGTGATAATACAGTCACTCTCCACCCTGAGAAAGTGTATTTTACAATGTGTCCTTTTAAAAATCACTTCTGAGTGTTGAAAGTAGGTAAAGCAATATACATGATAAAAGTTCAGTGTCTGTGTTGCAAAATGTAATGTCTAAAAGTGTGTGTGTGTGGGGAGAGAGAGAGAGAGAGAGAGAGAGAGAGAGAGAGAGAGAGAGAGAGAGAGAGGAGAGAGAAGGAGGAAGAGAGATAAGTTCCTGCTATAGAGGTTGGAAGGGGGATTGGAGGGAGGGATATTGGGATCACTTGTGGTGGAAAATGTAGACTGATGAAGGGATGGGTATTTGAATATTATATGACTAAAATCCAATCATGAACAACTTTGTAACTGTGTAATCTCATGGTGATTAAAAAGGAGAAGAAAAGAGAAGAAAAATCCAAGAGCAAGAAAAGAAACACTAAAGAAGACAGTTAAGGCATTTAATCTCCCCTTTCCAAAAATCAGTGATCATCTTCAGGATATGGTTGTTACTTTTCCTCTTCTAGTTCTATATTTTTCAAAGACTGATGCAACATGGGAAAGAATTCATAGTATATGACATAAAAAATAACAAGGAAAAAAACCCGTTCTTCCTAGATTACTCTTGACCCCAAAGCATAGGGAGAAGGAAAGACAAAAGGACAATGGGGGTGGAGGGAGGAAAAAAGACAGATGAAAAGCAACAGGGGACAAGGGGCAAGTGGTTTTAAGGAATTATAGAGCTAAATACCTGAACCACAGAGTCAGCAACACTGAAATCCTGAGACCAAACATTTAATCACCAAAGTTACAAAGGTACCTGTCAAGGTGGCAGGCTGGGAGTAGGTGGGTAGGAGAGAGAACCCGAGAACACTCCTGGAAGGAAGTTGTCACTGATGATGGAATGAGTGATGGATGATGGAATATTGTATATCAAAACTCATCTATGGGGCCGGAGGAATAGCACAGCGGATAGGTCGTTTGCCTTGCATGCAGCTGACCCAGGTTCAATTCCTGGCACCCCATATGGTCCCCCAAGCACCGCCAGGAGTAATTCCTGAGTGCAGTGCCAGGAGTAACTCCTGAGCATCGCTGGGTATGATGCCCCCCAAAAAAACTTTAAAAAATAAAATAAAACTAAACTATGAATAACTTTGTAAATCATGGTGCTTCAATGAAATAAAATTTAGAGGGAAAAAAATATATCCTAGAATTAAATGAAACCTTTTAATCTGAATAATTGAGCCTGGCTAGCTACCGAGAGTATCTCACCCGCACGGCAGAGCCTGGCAAGCTAC